CCCACCCTGCAGATATTTAGAGGCATTTCGAAGGTCCCCTCTCAGCCTTCTCTTCTCCAGGCTGAACAAGCCCAGCTCCCTCAGCCTCTCCTCGTAGCAGAGATGCTCCAGTCCCCTCAATGTGTAGATCCTGCCCACTGTACTCTTCTTCTTGTCTCTTCAGGATTGTTCTCTGGAGTTTCTGTGTTACTTTCAAGCTTCCTCTGCCAGAATAAAGCCGCAGAAATTAATGTTTTCCTCTGACTAATGGCTAGTTTTGAAGGTTTGTCTCATGAGTGAACAACAGAATGAAGGCAGAGCAGCAAAAGGCAATTTCATGATCACAGCTGATGTCCCAGAGCACATTCTGAGACCGCATTTTACCCTACAAATTTGGAGGAACTTTGTATGTCGGGCCCGTTGCAGGGAAGCCAGAGCTGCTCAGGCAAAAGCGCAGCCTGAAGGAAGCAGGACTCCGACCTCTTCTCTCCTCCTGCAGCTTATTTCAAGGTATCAGCTGGGCGGTGGTGAGCAACCAACACAGAAATAAGCCTATCACAAGCAATGGACTGCAAAAGCCCCTTGGTTATCCCTGGTGGCACAACTTGAAACATGAACTTCTTCACCTTATAGGAACTTTCAAGCCATAACAGCCTCATTTATTCAGCTTTTCTGATCCATTCCCCCTAGCTGGTCGAGTTCTGCTGTAGCTCTTCCATCTCACACATTGTGATAATGATGTGGATTCCTGATATGGTTCTTGCACTGATGCAGACTCCCCGCCTCATCCCCCTTAGTTCTGGACATCTCGGGGCTCAAAACTGGGTTCCTTTTTTCAGCACAAAAGCAAGATTCTCCCCTATGGCTTCTGATCCCTTCATCCGTCCCAACAGCAGCTCCTCACCGTTCATCCTTGTGGGTGTCCCCAGCCTGGAATCTTTCCCCACCTGCCTGGGCATCCTTTTCTGCTCAGGCTATATCATCTCCTTGGTAGGAAATGGTGTAGTTCTGCTTGTCATTGGGATGGACAACTCCCTGCGTGACCCCATGCATTACTTCCTGGGCATGCTGGCAGTCATCGATGTGGTGATGGTGACATCCATTGTCCCCAAGATGTTGAGCGTATTCTGGCTGAATTCTGCTGAGATAGGTTACACAGCCTGCTTTGTTCAGATGTTCCTTGTTCACTCCACAACATCAGAGGAGTCGGGAGTGCTTCTGGCCATGGCTGTTGACCGCTACTTTGCAATTTGTCACCCCCTTAGGTACCAAGCCATCTTGAATTGCCAAACAGTTGCAGAAATAGGCCTGGCCATTGTGGTGAGAGCTCTGCTTTTCATGGTCCCCTTGACAGGGATGGTGGCAAACCTCCCCTATTGCCACTCCCGTGTGGTTCCCCATTCGTACTGCGAGCACATGGCCGTGGCGAAGCTGGCGTGCGCAGACCACAGGCCTTGCAGTCTTTACAGTGTGACTGGGTCCTCTCTTATCGTAGGGATGGACATGGCTTTCATTGCTGTGTCCTATGGGATGATCCTTAAAACTGTCCTGAGGAAGAAACCACGCTGGAAGGCCTTCAGCACCTGCGGGTGCCATAGCTGCGTGATGCTGCTGTATTACATCCCTGGGATAGTCTCCATCTATGCACAGCAGTTCAACAGCAGTGTACCCATGCATGCACAGGTTCTGCTGGCAGATCTCTACCTGATCCTTCCCACCATGCTGAACCCCATCGTTTACAGCATGAAGACCAAACAGATCCGTCGGGCAGCACTCAAAATGCTATTTTCCAGGAAGGTTCATACCTGACACAGTAGTCAGTGGTTCTCCAGGTGTATTCATCTATGCAAAGACAGCACCAGTTTCATTCCCACTGAATGCACACGGTGAAGAAAAGCAATGAGGGGAGGAGGGAGGACTCATTGGCTTTAACGTCTACATGAGACCCTACTCTGTGATGAGAGTTATTTGGGACTGGGAGCTTGAGCAAATATCAGGTCCTATTTCCCTTCCTTCTCTCCAGGTGATGCAGAGAAGTAAGCAACCACCTTTGAGTTCTGAGATGTTCCCGATGCCATGAACACCTCTGCGATAAACTAAAACAACATTTCAGGGCTCCAGGCATATTTGTGTCAATAAACAGATTCTATTCCAAATGGGGAAATCTCTTCTATGGTGTCTTCTTTAGTCCCGGCTGGACTCTTGGGGCTGGCGATAGGAGACTGCCACACATTGCAGGTGCTGTAGCCCCAGAGGCTCTCCTCTCTGGGCCTTTCCAGCACAAGAGGTTGACGGTCACTGAGCACAGACCAGCTTTTCTGGGTTTCTGGGTGATGATGGAAACTGAGTATCTTCAAAACTGAGCTCTTCAAAGCATTCTGTCCATCCCACAGTTCACACCAGCTGGGTGAGGAAACCGAAGCGGGGAGATGCACAATGGTGCTTATCACTTATCTGCGTGTCCACAGCTTTTACTGGTGGAAATAAAGACTGAGTCTGCCTGGGGATGCTTACCAATCCTGTGTCTGTTGGTTGTAATGACCACAAGTACCTGAACAGCTAAATCTAGCACACCTTGGAGGCCTGAAGGACAGCATGCTATAGATCTGAGTGTCCTGAGTCCAGCTAACTCTTGCTACTGGTAGACCAGCTGCATCACAGATTTCTCTGAGCCCTCCCTGAGCCAGCCAGCAATGTCCAACCAGGATTCATATGCTCTGTCTGGGGGCTGCAGCACCCAACCATGCTGAGACTTCCAAGGGTGCAAGAGTCCTCCAGTTCTAGAAGCTGGGATCCAGCTGGGAACAACACAGAGAGGGCAGGTCCCTTAGCAATGACAGGTTTTGTCTAGAAACTGTAGGCACAAGGAGACGTTCTGAGGCTCTGATGCTTAGCGTCAGCAGATGGAAAGTCCAGCTCTGACCTGGGGTAAGGACATCACAGAATCACAGAATCACAGAATCACAGAATGCTAGGGGTTGGAAGGGACCACTGGGGATCATCTGGTCCAACCAAGCAGGGTCACCCAGAGCAGGTTGCACAGGACCGCGTCCAGGCAGGGTTGGAATATCTCCAGGGAAGGAGACTCCACAGCCTCCCTGGGAAGCCTGTTCCAGGGCTCCATCACCCTCAGAGTGAAGAAGTTCTTCCTCATCTTCAGCTGGAACTTCCTCTGCTTCAGTTGGTGCTGGTGCCTGTTGCCCCTTGTCCTGTCGCTGGGCACCACTGAAAAAGGGATACTCTGCAGGCGTTGTTTTGAACTGGTACTGGAGGGTCCCTGGGAGAGGTGCAATTTCAATGAACTTGACAGTACACGTCAACAGCAACTACCCAAAGTACCAACACCAACAACTCATATCCCCAGACCTTGCCTTTCTTTATCACTAAGAGGTTCAGCACGTTCAGAGGTTCAGATGCCCACAAGTGTTCCTGCTCCTCAGAAGTGGAGGATGCTCCAATGACAGAGGGATGCTCCACATCTGCTCTGCAGGGATGCCCTTCCCAGGGCCAGGCCAGAGTCTTCTGAGACTCAGTAACACCTAAAGTACAAAGAGCTGATGTTTTGGGACAAAAACAACAGGCTGGTCAGCATTTCCCAGGGTGTTTTGCCAGGGTTTTGTGACAGGTCCTATTAGGGTGTTTAAGACATGTAGAGGTGATTCTGCGTCTCAGAGGTGCTCATGGTCCTCTGCTTGGGGAGGGTGCTTCATCCAGAGAGAGGAGCCATGACCTCATTTGGGTCTGAGGGTGGAGAAGGAGCAGAGGGATGGAGTTGGGGGACTGTGCCCATTAATGCGAGGATTCAGAAGAAAAGCATACAGAGATGGCGTGGTTCCTCTGACAGCCAAGGTGTGGGACAACTCTCATCCATCTCAGACACGGTCAGGGCAGAGGTCCACATGGTCACCACCATCTCCCTTACAGTCATGGCAATGAAAGAGGCGGGTGCAGCATAATTCCTCTGACCTGTTTCCAATATCAGCTTTAGGTTGGGATGAATACTGCCCGAAAATCGCTGTTTGTCTCCATAAATATGAAGGCAACCTGGAGGTCTAGCTCCAGCCATAGCCTGAAACCCCGTCCATAACTGTTACCTGTGTTTATTTGGATCAATCCCACCCAAAATGTCATGTGTAGTGCTCACTTCTACATTAATTTTAAAATTAAACTCAGTGAAATGTGTTCAGTTTCAAAACTGGTTTGAATGTCACTCCCCACGTCAAAAATTTTATTTCCCATCTTTGTGGTGTCTATCCGACTTTCTGCTGCAGTCTTCCCTGACATCTTGAAAGAACAGTTGTCAGAGTGCTTCTGCTGTCCTGAATTTGCATCTTTTTCTCCACTGAATTTCTTAATTTCAGCTTTCAGAAACGAAACTGCGCTTGCGTTGCTCCAGGCAGAAACACGAAGAAGGTTTTTCATTCCGCCGGAGACAACTCGAGCAAGACTATTCCTGTCTGGCTGGGTCATCACCTAGCACTTGTCATTTCTAAAAGAAATTAGATGAGAGAGAACTGACTCGGGACTAAGGATGCTGCCGTCCAGCCCCCTCGCTGAGGTTATTACAGAAGGTGCCTGGAGAGCACTCGCACTCTTGGGGATCTCCATCGAGGAGAGTCCCGGTGGCATCACCTTGGGTGATTTACGCACAGCCCTGCAGCTCTGCCCTTGCACACAGGAGATGATTCTTTCTCGGTGCGAGCGTCCCCGAGGGTGGCAGCTGTCTGCGAGCGGAGAGCAAGGTGGGTGGCTGCACGGCAGGGCTGGCGTGAGTCAGGGCACGGCAGGCTGCTCCATGAGGACGGAGCCTGAGGACGGGAGGCTGGTGGGAGAACATCTGGCTGGTAGGAATGCACAGTGTGAATCAGTCTGGAAAAAAGGCAATCGCTGGAAAACTTCTGTTAGAAGTAGCTTTTCAAAATTTTAAAGTTTCGTAATAAATGGTGTCAGGAGGATGGGGCCAAGCTCTTTTCAGT